AAGAGAATTTATGGGGTTTTAGTTGAATTGGACTCAGAAACGGAACTAATTAAAGATTGTATGATTAGATGGGCGCAGAACTTTGGTGAGCCAGTTTCATTGGACACCTGGGAAACTATTTGGGTGAGAAATGTCAAATTTACTCAAGCACAGAATTTAAGGGAGAATTTTTATAAAATGTTTTATAGATGGCACCTTGATCCACAAAAAATGTCTTATATGTACCCTGACGTGCAACCTAAATGCTGGAGATGTGGTTACAAGGAGGCTTCTTATTATCATATTTGGTGGTCATGCAGAGAGATAAAAGCATTTTGGATCAAAATATGGTGGAATATCCAGAGAATTTTTAGAAGGAGGGTAAAATTCACTCCGCAATTATTTTTGTTAGGTATTGTTACAGATTGTGATACAAAGGAGGTTGTATTGATGTTAAACTTGATCACAGCCGCGAGGCTGTTAGTTGGACAATATTGGAAGAAGGAATCTTTGCCTACATTGCAGGAATGGTTTTTTAAAGTAGCTTATTTGGCGGAAATGGCAAAGATTTCGGCTTTCTTAAAGCAACAAACGCAAGAGAAGTTTTTTGCTATCTGGGACAAATGGATAAAATTTATACAATTTAGATTGGGTATACAAAAATATTATATAGCCTTTTCATAAGTTTTATTTTTATATATATTATAGATATCTTTTATATATATATAAATATAGAGTTTTTAATTTAATTTTTTTTTTTTATTATTATTTCTTAAGCCTATATTCTGCTCTGGGAAGCTCAGGGGGGGGGAAGGGAGGGTTTTTGGGAGGGGTGTGGGGTGGGGTTTTTTTTTTTTTTATATGTATTGTTTAAATTTTTTTTTTCTCTTTTGTATATGTTGTTTTTTGTTCTGTATTGTTCTTGTTTTTTTTGTAAAATTTATAAAACTTTTAATAAAAAAAAAAAAAACAAAAAAAAAAAAACAAAGAGCTGTTAGAGGAGAACAGTGATTTTGAGATTAATGTCAAATCGCTTTGCTCTATTGCAAGATTTGAAAGAGGTGAATATTATGGACCAAAACAAACAAAGTCAAAAATATCTTTGAATCTGCTTCAACTATAACCACTGGAAAAACACTTGGTGCAGTCAAAAATCTCTTTAATTATTTTATAAATATTTTATAAAAATATTTATAAAAAAAAATCTCTGATGAAACTATTGTTAATGAAAAAACAATGAACAATGAAGAATACTAGAAGTTTCACTAATAAACTGGAGTATATTGAACTTTGCAAAACCGTAAGAAAACACATTCAAGAAGAAATGTGCTAGGTGAGGCGGGCAGTGGCCTTGAGCCCTGGGGAGGTGTGAGATGTAGTAGTTGCTATGCTGGGCAACCAGGCATGGTCCTTCAACAGAGCCATGGGTCAGCGCAAAGCGGTGCACTCACAAGGAGAAAAAAGTGGCCCCGGGGGCAGTTGGAGGGGCTTTGCCGTCCCATTCTTTCAGGAGGCATGCCCTAGCTGGCTGGCATCAGTGCCGGACTGCCACTGCCACCCATTGCATTCTGCCTGGCCCTGCTCTGCACCCAGTGCCTCAACTCCCTTTTTCAACATTATAATTATTCCTGCTTAGATCTAATAATGACAAGTTTACTAACAAGCCAATCCGGCTTCACGTTATCAGATTGAGTGGGATGGGGGACACACGACTGGCCCATTGGATCACTTTGTCAATGTTCAAAAGAACCTGCCTTTGAATTTCGCCTGCCCTGAATCGGCACTAGCACTCAAAAAGGAGACGGGGGATAGAGGATTCCCTGTGGATCCAATTATGGGAGTGGGAAGAAGCACTGAAACCTCTGCTCTCCATCACAGAAAACTGGCAACTGGAGTGGTACAGGAGAAGGGAGAATTAAGACCTTATATTCCCACAAGAGATGCCCAACTTGAACAATCCGTCAGTTAGTGGGAAGGCAAGCCTAATCAATACTGCTTATTAACTCTCTGACAAAGCAAGTTACTAATTAATGCATCTATGCATACACTGAAGCGCTCATTCCCCTGTCTGTCAATACCTACATGACATCCCTCCCTGTACACTAAGATATCCATTTTCTCTTTCTCCAACCAAGTCTCCATGCATCTTTTAGAAGGAAGTTGAATCCTGCCAACATAGGCAGGCCTTATGTATGGTCCATCCCTTCTTTGTCAGTAAAACTGACAGCAGCAATAGAGAAATAACATGCTACCTCAGCAAAAAAAGACCAACTCTTATCTATGGGAAAGGTAACAGGCACAAAAATTGATGGCAATCAGCAACGGAACATATCATCCCAGCAAACAAGCTGACCCTTTATCTATGGGGAAGGTAGCACCAATATTAGTTACTAACAAATAACACTGTCCCAACAAAGAAGCTGGCTCTTATCTATTAAAAAGGTAGTGTTCGCCATTAACTAAAGGGTGGACACAACTACAAAAACACAAAAATGCATTAAAAATGTACACGTACAAATGTACACGTACAATTTTACACATTAAGCAACAGTGGATGTCGCTATGCCCAAAGACATAAAAAAATCAGGAAGCAAACAAATTTAATACAGGAAAAAATTCAATGATGGGTGCAAGATAAGGAAAGAAACCACAAATCACCGGAATACAATTCTAAAAAACAGTTTCATAACTTCCAAAAATGCCCATAATAATGCATCAAACCAAAACTTTTATTCAAGTGCCCACAACAACTGTCGTAATTTCTAATCTTGAATACAATAACACAACTGCCAAATTTAACAAACAATTAAAACATTATCTCTTTTTTCATACAGACAAAAAAACCCCAATGCACAATATCAGCTAAAATATCCCACCTTACCACACGTCGTTGATGAAGGGCAAAAGCTTGCCACAAAAGCGAGATGCAATAAGAAACCACAAGAGGCGTGACCTCACCAGGGGCACAACCCCTATACCAATACAAGGAGCTGGCCTAGCCCCAGGACTTGCCAAACCCTCACCAGGTCCCAGCCACGGCCACAAGCCCAACTGTTTTGCCAGTGAGGACAGCCCTTTACCACACACTTAGTGTGTCCTCAAAGTAAGTCCAGGCATGACCCTTCCCTTACTGCCAAATTAGGAGAACAGGCTTAACTAACTAAATCACAACTATTTCCCTATCTATCTAATCTAAGGTCCCAAAGAAAGGACCTTCTTCTTACCTCTGATACAAAGTAGATTGTGAGTGCTCCGAGAGAATGGGCTGGTTACCTGTGGCCCAAAGCCAGGAAGCAGTCAGAAATCCTAGTTGGACAGCAGGTCTCTTCCAGCAACTGTCTCTTCCTAGCCAATGCACCAAAAACTGTTGTGGAAAAACCCAATGAAAAAGAAGAGAGACAGCAGCACAAAACAATAATTCTTACTTTAAGATTCAGAGGTTTATTTTGCCAATGATTTGGAACATAGCAAACATAACAACATAACATCACTTACATTAATAACCCATTGCAATGAGAACCATATGGCATAGCAGATTCTAAAAGGACAGCTATAGGCCAATGGCAAATCAATCAAGTCCAGTCCCAACCCTTTATACCCTTTCTTGTTCCAAGACTGTAGTCAGATAGTCTGCTGTTGACTTTCTATTGACTTCCTGCTGACCTTCTGCTGAACATAACTTTCCACATATACCCATGTACATTGGAACCTGCATCTATCAGCTTTCAGTTCCCTATTTCTTACCGTTCCAGACTTTTATGTTCTAAATATATTTGAAACAAGCAAGCTTAGCAAAATCATATTAAGTAAAGTAAAACTGCAAACTGCAAAATTAAGCAAAGCACAGACTTTGGTTCAATACTTCATCCATAAGGCCTGATTTAGTTTACCTGGGCCTAAACCTTGCATAAAAGAATAGCCAATTTTTTCATTTTCCATAAAGGAAAAAAGTGATAAAATACTATTGTAGTCCTTGACTTAACAATACATTGCTTAGTGACTGTTCAAAATTACACTGGCAGTGAAAAAAATGACTTATGACAATTTTTCACACTATTGCAGCATTCCCAGGGTCATGTGATTTACATTTGGATGCTTGGCAACTGATTCATATTTATGATGGTCACAGTGTCCCAGGGTCATGTAATCCCCTTTTACAATCTTTTGACAAAGTCAATGGTCAGCTCAGTGTTGCTCAGGTTGGGGGGCGCCTGTGGCGAAGCAGGAGGGACTGTGGGGGATATCCAGAGATGATCTCTAGTGGAGGGGGGTTGGACTAGAGTAGGTGCCAGGGCATAGTCCACCGGAAGAGCCTCACCATCCCTCTTGCGCTACACTGGGGGCTCCCAGATAGTGGTGCAGGCTGCCTGGAGCCCTGGGCAGTGGAGAGCAAGTGTCCAGCCTAGGCCTCAAGCTCCCAGGGCACCAAGACCCTGCAGCCCAACCCAGTCCAGCCCCACTTGCCCAAGGGGGCACCAGCTGCACTTACCTCCTTGAGGCTGCTGCTGCTGTACTCACTCTCCTTGGCAAGGTTGCTCATGGTAGATGCAGGAGGACAAAGTGTGCAGGTCAGAGGGAGGCCCACTCCCTCTCCATGTCAGGAGACCCAGCTTTGTAACCAAAGCATCCTCAGCAATAGGATGGGAGACCAACAGGAGAAGCTAGGAGGGGGCAAGGGGATGGTGAAAGGGCATCAGCGTTGCTGGTGGCCAAGTGCTAAGGCAAAATTTCCTGGAGACCCTCCTTACCTCTCATTCCAATCGCCTTCCGTTTCCCTCCTTCCCTGCCTCCCTTTCTTATTTCCATCTCCTTTCTTCCTCCCTCCCTCCTTGCCTCACCTCCAGCTGATGGTGCCTTTCTTCATTCCTCACAGAGGGTGACCCCTGTCCAGCTGCATTTCTGCCATTTTTCGCTGCCACCTGTGTGCGCGACCGGCATGAATGGTTCCACGAAGTTGTAGAACAGCTCCCGGCTGGCCTGTTTTATCTCTTCTCCTTTCTCCCTCCCTCCTCCTCCTCTTCTCTTCGGTGCAGCTTCAGCTGACTCCTCCTTCTAAGGCTGCGTCTTTTTTTTTCTTCCTCTCCCACCGAAACTGCCTCCTTTTATAGCCTCTCCTGTCTCCGCTCTCCTCCTCTCTCTTCTGGGTGAGCCAGAAGTACCAATCCTGGGGACTTCGTCTCACCCCAGATGCCCTGCAGCTCCTGAAGACTCTCTCACAGCAAGTCCTGCGCTGCGCCACTTTAGCTCGTTCCCTCCCCCGCTATGCTTGGCTAGGGAGGGCCACGTACGTTCCAATGTACCATTGGTTGAAAAGCCCTGATCTAGAGTATATATTCCTACAGTTAGTATATATTCCTACGTTTTTTAGCAACGTCTCAAAGTAGAAAATCCATTAAGCCTGTTCAAAATGTTTTGTTTTCTATTTACATATTTGCAGTAACTGCTGCCAATGGAGTAATTCAATATGATTCATAAATCAGCAATGCCAACTGTGTGTAGTTATCAGAATTTTCTCCTTTTCCCTAATATGTAAGTACAATAAATTTTACTGAGCAACTTCAGATAAAAATAGATTAAACTTGTTTTTCAATTATTTTCTGGACAATAATATAACAGTAATACCTGCTATTTGTGAAATGCCTTTTACATAAACACAATTATGAACAAACTTTTATTTGAAAGTGAACATCAACAATTGGCATAAAATGCATAAAAATACAGTATTTTCTATTCAACAATATAATCTTAGTACAAAATAATGACTCCAATTTCCTGCCTTTTGAATGGATCTTAGTTGATGATTCAGTCCTCAATAGGAGATAAATTTCTTTACATTTTAAATTTACCTTTTTGTACTTTGTCAGGAGGAAAAAAACAAAATCAACATTCTCAGATAAACAATTTGTAAATTTTTTTAGCAGTTTTAAAGATAAACAGAATGTATATGATCATGGTCTATGGTACCAGACAAAAAAGTAAATTGCAACCAAATTTTAGAACTGTGTATCATCTCTACAGTTAATTTTTGAAATTTTAAGTTTTATAAAAATGAGCTTGAGAATGCAGTTGTAACTCACCTAACATTTGCTATACTATTGAAATTTATATTGTATAAAGTAACTCCAAGGTGTATAATGGAATAACACAAAAGCAAAATTGTTTTACACTGCATTCTCCCTAGTGGTTACAATTTATTTCTTAGATAATAAATGTTATTTCCCATCATGTTAAACTTTCTACAAGGATTAATCACAATCCTTTATTGCATTAAGACAAAATAGTACAATTTTCCTGGAAAAAATTTTTTCTTAAAAGATTAACACATGCAGCAACTTTATTTTGTTTATCATAGCATGTCAATAGTAGCAAAAATTCAGATAAATTTGCATGAATTTCAGCAGTCCTATTCTAATAAAGAAGCGTATACTCTTTCTATATACATTGGGGTGGTTTACTTCTTTACTATTTCTGCTACCAATGAAAGTTCCCTTGGAACATTGGTTTCAAGACAATAAGCAGACAAGAATAAATGTTGGATTCTAAATTTGGCTTGTTAAAAACAATAAACCAGGAATTCTGGTTTGGAAATAATATTCTACCAAAAAAAAAAAAGGAATAGTAAAGATTGATTAATACATGCTATAATGCTTTCTCAGCCTTGATAAACAAGAATTTAGGAGCATTTTGTTTTGTTTTGTATCATCTGGCTCAATGTGAATTCTAAGATATTCAGAATTTTAAAGTAGAACAAATAAACAAGTTGTAATTAATTAATTAATTAATAACTGAACTTTTTCAGTTTTGATAAAGCAAACAGCAATTTATGCTTACATAGAATCATGGAAACCATCCTCCCCCCCCACTAAACTATGTTTATTCGGAAAGAAGCATGAAAAGGAAATAGACAGTAATATAATGATATCTAGATGTGAGAAAATGTTTTAGGTTTTGTCAGCTCTTATTCCTTCAGGATTAAAAATTACAACACTCTTGCTAGGAATCATTACCTGCACCATTTCATTTATTTTGGCATTATATTCTACAACTTTTTTTGCTCATTTTCATAGGATCAGTATTTATTAAGAAGTGTTGGAATGCATGTATAGGAATATTTTTTCAACTAGACATTACTTCTCAATAAATATAGTTAGTTGGACTCCTAAAGATCTCATCCAATGACATGGGTACATGGCTTCAATTGCTCCAAATGTTAAAAACTTGAGTGTTGAATTCTTTGGAATGCAATTGAAATCTAATGGTGCCCATAATTAACATCAATTATTTTTATTTTTTAATGGACTTGGAATTGAAGCAGAATTTTTTTTTTTAAAAAAAAAATTGCTGGTTTAAAGGATATACGACCAAAAATGATACAGTACTGAAGAATCATTCTCTGGTAACTTCCAATACTTTGAATATATTATTGTTGAACACTGTCCTGAAGTATGGCCTGGAATCTTTACACATGAGATTGCATAAAGGAATTTTCCCAGCATTGGCAAGATCTTCTATGTCCCAAATTTCTGGCATACTGCAACCAGGCCTAAAAATATTTATAAATATTATCAGCAAACAAAGAACATATCTTTCAATAAAAGAATTCATTGTTTTGAAGAGTATTTTAAACTACTGGAATAATTTATTTGAATTTTAATATATAACTAAGATAAAGATACATTATACAAATAGCATTCGAATGGTTTCAAGGCACCAGTGTAGAAACAGGAGACCGTGACTTAAACATGCCTACTCTTGCCTTAGGCATGAAGGCGCTTTGGATGACTTTGAGCAAATTACTCTCACTCAGTCAACTCACCTCAAAGGGTTGTTTGGGGGGGGGGAAGGGAGGAGAAAAGAACATTAGGTATGTTCACCATCTTGAGTTATTTACAACAACAACAATGGTGGGATATAAAATAAATAAACAGGGACCAGAATTTCCATCACTAAAGTGATATAACTGTAAAGAACAACATCATTCAACCACATCATTTTATGAAATGGGTGATGTTAAAAGGGATCTCAACACTTTTCTAGTATGCGTTAGAAGAGGAATGTAGACTCCACGCATGGGTTGATTTAGTCTTCTAGCCCAATCAGACCAAACAATCAAAGTTGCCACGCCTCTGCAGGGTCTGACCATGCCCCAGTTTTCGAAAGGGCGAAGCGAATGATTGTGTGACGAGATGGCTCCGAACTGCTGACATTAACCTAGCTGCTAGTAATAATCAGGGAGGGGGTGGAGTCTACATTCCTCATGCTGAGAAAAGGCGTTCAGGTAAGACAACGCCCCTTCTCCAGCATGTAGAGGAATGTAGACTCCACGCATGGGACATACCAAAGCCCCTATGATCCCACGGGTGGGAAGCAGGTTGGTTAAGTGTCGGTGCTGAAATGGACCACTTGTTGTAAAACCCGGACGGCCAATTCTGGGGCATGATCAGACCCTGCAGAGGCGTGGCAACTTTGATTGTTTGGTCTGATTGGGCTAGAAGACTAAATCAACCCATGCGTGGAGTCTACATTCCTCTACATGCTGGAGAAAATAGTATTTTCCTTATTGAACATTTATGAGAAACAATTAGTTTTATTACTGAATACTTACTTAGTTCGCCTCAGGCACCAAGAATCTTCTAAAATATAATAATTTACTCCCATTTTTAATAGTTCTCTTTTAACCTCTTTTGCAGGTTTTCGGCTATACATGGAATAAACAATTTTCGTTCTTGCCCTTTGCAGAAAAGCAAAAAAATATGATTGAAGAGGTGATAGAAGATGTACCCTAGGTAATTTATTCTTGCATCCATTTTTACAGAATAAAATACCTTCTCATTAATATAAAACAAACCTAGCTATCTATTAAATTATAAAAGAAATAAATAAAATTAATCATAGGGAAACTAAGAAACTAGGAAATATATTAATATAATTTTTTTTGCTAGAAAATCAGAAAATGGATACTGAACATATTTAATAATCTGTAAATGAAATTCTGCAAATGGTTATATGTGAATTAACACATAAGAGTTATGGATCTACCAAAGATCTTGTGAATGGTGAAATATAATCATCACCTGCTGGGAGATATGCCTGAGGTCCACTAGATGGTAAATGGGGCAGTTTCCATGATTTAATGGCAAAACCAAAGGCTTAGGTTGAAGCATTTCTGAAGCGATTAAGGGAATGACAGTAATCCTTGGGCAAAAGAGCATACAAAGCTACAACTTGGATGTGAAGTCTCCTTGAAGAATTTATTTTGAAGCAAATGTATATGGTAATCCGGGAGGATTACTGAAGTAAAACTCCCAATACAAAATCCTTTTCCCCCTGGCAACAGTGATCAAACAAATCACAATGTGGGTGACCAGATTTGGTGATAAAAGTGTATCTTCAGGCCTTTTGAAAAAGCACGGGGGAGGCAATTTTATCTTCTGGGAGGGAGCTATCATAGAGAAGGCCCTTCTTCTTGGTCCCATTAGATAGATCTCCTTAAGCGAGGGGATTGTAACATACCTGCCTCCAATCTGGTGGGCAGGGTAGACAAACTATATAATAATGTTTTTAAGATCAGTGAAGTTTTGATATTTCTGCTGAAAGTTGATTGTTACATAGTTGGGTTGTAGTGAGGAATGCAAAACCAGTATAGAATGTAAGGCCAATATATGTAAAGGGCTTCCATAAGGAATATGAGTCGCTAATTAAGACCTCAGTAAGACTGTTTCCATGAACATCAATGGACAACGGAAAAAAAGCTAAGGATCAACAAAAATTAGAGTGAGATGATATTAAAAAAACAAAATAGGACTAACTGCGATATGCAAACAGTAAGGAACTTGGTCCCAGTCATCTTTAAGTGCAGAAGAGTGCTCTGAAGAACTAGGTCTCAAAGAAGGCCTGTCACAAATCTTCTGAGACTGAATTCCATGTCAAAAAGGACCTGGTGGAAACTGGCCAGGAAAGAAAGAATAAGCAAAATATGGTTGGAAAAAGCTTACGTGGAAAAGGCTTGATATTACTACAGGTGGCATTAGGGAGTTACCTAGTTCCCATAGACCACGGACTGGTACCAGTCCACAGCCTAGGGATTGGGGATCCCTATTTTAAAATAATTTACAGGATTCTAGACATCTTACAATAAAACAAATAAAAAACAAAATACACAATATAAAATTAAAAACAATAGCAGCTGGGCATGATCTGACCATTTATACAGAGACAGACCCTAACCCTCTAACTCTCATAGTTAGAAGAATATTTTATTCTCACTTTGTTGCTACAAACCAATTTTGAAATCTCAAATATGCTACCTTACTGATAAATCTAATGGAAAAGATATTGACCTAGATTTGGTGATCGAACTTCTTCTATTCAAAACATAACAAGTTTATAAGAAAGTCTGGCCAAGAATTTTTATAGCATATTTTTTTTAAAAAAAATATCAAAACATTTATAGCACACTCGACATTCTTTAGTAATCAAGTGGCACACTGGTTAGGATGAAATATTGCACACTAACTCTGCCCATGCCAGTTTGATCCTGACTGGCTCAAGGTTGACTCAGCCTTCCATCCTTCCAAGGTCAGTAAAATGAGGACGCAGATAGTTGGGAACAATATGCAGAGTCGGTAAACTGCTCAGAGAGTATGTGTGGAGTGTTATATAAGTCTAAGTTGCTGCTATTCTTTATAAAATATTGACTGGATGAATTCCTATATAAGATTAGTTGTTCACAACCACATTCTTTTGGAATTTTTTTTCTACCCTGATAGTAGTACTTATTTCATTCAAATGTATCTGCTGAGGTAGGTTAGATTTAGTTTCAAATGGAAGGGAAGCATATCTTTTATGTTAAAATATGTTGTTTGGAAATAGCAATATAAAGCTGGTGCAGTAGAACCTAGGTAGAGATGAATACAACTTTTAGAAAGTTGTTCATTGTCCTTCTTTTCTACCAATTTCCAAGTTAATTAGAGCAAGCTTTTGAGCAAGTTGATAGTGAAATCACGGCAATCAAGATGAGGCAAAATTGTCTGGTGTAAACTAAGATTATCATCTTCATGAAGGGCACAATTGCTAAATTTAATTTGAACTGAACTTTACATCTGTTGTCTTATTTTTATTAAGAATTTTTTAATTAAATACAAATATTTATTTTGCTAATAAGATATTAATTGGTTTTACATACCTAGAGTTTAAAGTTGTATAATTTTAAAGGAATATGTTTTTAGAGAAAAAAGAATAGAACTTTTCTTATCTAATTTGTTGCTCATATGACCAGAAACATCACAATTAACAAGAAAAATAATAAACAGAAAATAAAAATAAAAACTCAAATCCATGGCAATAAAGAGCTACTTTCTGTAAATCAAAACTGAGATTAAAATTTATTTAAAGGAGAGTAAAGAAAAAAAATAGAAATTAGGTTTTATTTGAGTTCCCCTTTAATGATGGATATTCATAGGAACCTTGGGAGGAAGTGATCATGCAGTATTGGAATTCAACATTATGCAAGCACAAGCAATAGAAAAACAGTCAAACTAGAGTTTTGGACTTCAAGAGAGCTAATTTCAATAAACTTAGAGAGGGTTTGGGAAGGATTCCATGGATGAGAATCCTCCAGGGGAAAACAACTCAAGAGGCTTGGGAAATTTTGAAAAGTGAGATAATAAAGGCCCAGTCTAGCACAATACCAACAAAGAGGAAAAATAACAGCTCTCAAAAGAAACCAGCATGGCTGCATAAATAACCCTCTGATCAATTAAAAGATAAAAAGGACAAGTATAGAAAGTGGAAAGAGGGACACATAATTAAGTCAGAATATCAGCAAATAGCCCGAGCCTGCAAAGACGAAGTGAGGAAAGCTAAGGCTCAAAATGAACTAAGGCTTGCAACCAAAGTCAAAAATAACAAAAAAAGCTTCTTTCAACATGTAAAAAACAAGAAAAAAGTGAAGGAAATGATTGGTCCATTAGTGAGTAAAAGTGGCAAGAAGGTGACAAGCAAGAGGGAGAAAGCAGAACTATTTAACTCGTTTTTCGCATCTGTCTTTACATAAAGAGAAGAAACAGACCAACCTGTCAAAAATAGTGCCATAAAAAACAGAATAGAAACACGTTAAGATAAGCAAGAAAATGGTAAGTGAGCACCTATCCAGCCTAGATGAATTCAAATCACCAGGATCAGATGGATTACACCCCAAGATTCTTGAGAAACTGGCAGATGTGATCTCAGAACCACTGAACTATATTTTTCAGAGATCCTGGAGCACCGGGGAACTACCAGAGGACTGGAAAAGAGCTGATATAGTTCCCATCTTCAAAAAAGGGGAAAAAAAGAACCCAGGAAATTACAGACCTATCAGCCTGACCTCAATACCTCGGAAGATTCTGGAAAAGATAATCAAACAACGAATCAGCGAACACCTACAGGCAAACAAAGTCATTACTAAAAGCCAACAAGGGTTTGTCAAAAATAGATCATGCCAGACAAATCTTATTGCATTCTTTGACCAAGTGACAAAATTAGTGGACCAGAGGAATGCTGTGGATATAATTTACTTGGATTTCAGTAAGGCATTTGACAAAGTAGACCACAACCTACTACTTGAGAAGATAGAAAAATGCCGGTTAGACAGCATCACCACCAGATGGATCCATAGCTGGCTGACCAGCCGTACTCAGCGTGTGGTCCTCAATGGAACCGCATCTACATGGAGAGAAGTGTGTAGTGGGGTGCCCCAGGGCTCTGTTCTGGGCCCAGTGCTCTTCAACATCTTCATCAACGATCTGGACGAGGGGATAGATGGGGAACTCATCAAATTTGCAGACGACACCAAGCTGGCAGGAATAGCCAACACTCCAGAAGACAGGCTTAGGATAAAGGAGGATCTGGACAGACTTGAACACTGGGCGCTATCTAACAAAATGAAATTCAATGATGAAAAAAGTAAGGTTCTACATTTAGGCAAGAAAAACTAAATGTATAGGTATAGTATAGGAAGTATCTTCCACAACAGTAGTAACTGTGAAAGGGATCTCAGAGTCCTAGTGGACAACTATTTAAATATGAGCCAGCAGTGTGCTGCATCTGCCAAAAAGGCCAACACAGTGCTAGGCTGCATTAACAGAGGGATAGAATCAAGATCACGTGAAGTATTAATACCACTTTACAATGATTTGGTAAGGCCACACTTAGAATACTGCATCCAGTTTTGGTCACCACGATGTAAAAAAGATGTTGAGACTCTAGAAAGAGTACAGAGAAGAGCAACAAAGATGATTAGGGGACTGGAGGCTAAAACATATAAGGAACGGTTGCTGGAATTGGGTATGTCTAGTTTAACAAAGAGAAGGACGAGGGGGGACATTATAGCAGTGTTCCAATATCTCAGGGGCTGTCACAAAGAAGAGGGAGTCAAGCTATTTTCCAAAGCACTGGAAGGCAGGACAAGGAGCAACAGGTGGAAACTAACCAAAGAGAGAAGCAACCTAGAACTAAGGAGAAACTTCCTGACAGTTAGAACAATTAACCAGTGGAACAACCTGCCTCCAGAAGTGGTGAATGCTCCAACACTGGAGGTTTTTAAGAAGAACTGGACAGCCATTTGTCCGAAATGGTATAGGGTTTCCTGCCTGAGCAGGGGGTTGGACTAGATGACCTCCAAGGTCCCTTCAATTTCTATTATTTATTATTATTATTATTATTATTATTATTATTATTATTATTATTATT